TTATCATTTATTGATTTATAGGTTTAAGCATTAAGATTTGACACAAAAATAATAATTAAAAATCACTTAGAAATAAGGTGACAAACAAAATGAACCATGCACATGAGTTGACAAATTGCAACTTGCTTAAAAGCAAACATTATCAGATTTTAGAATAACCGAGAGTTTGAGACAAAGAGATAAGAGTATGAAACTAAACACTAAGTCAAGGACTTTATATACCAAATGGTATAAATATAATTATTTCATTTACTATCGGGTTATCGATTAACCCGTTGAGAAAAATCTCAAACCGTTAGGAATTGATAATCTGATAATAAGAAAATAAAAACCATTATTGAAATTGCTAAATTAATAACGCATTATCGATAAATCAATAACTTATTTTTGGTTTGGATTATCAGGTTCGGTTCAATTTTTAACAACCCTACTCGCTGCCAATTTTTTTTTATATCCAAGGCTTAAACCCGAAAATTTTGATTAAGATAAAAATAACATTATCCACTGCACCACATTCTTTGATGGCAATGCTCTATATGAACAAATAAAAATGAACTGCGACGTAATTACTAAGAAAATTCCAAGGATATGTTGTCACTAATGTGGGTTCAAATCAATAACATTTTTTGGTTGGCGTATCAAACCAATAATAGAGTTCTTTATATTCTTGAAACCAAACCTATAACTTTTTACTATATTAGAAAGGACAATTTCAACATGTCAGTTTTCTGGTATTAAATTAAACTTTAAGGGTATTAAAGTTTTTTTAAGAAATTTGCAAGATAAACTTGCTTAAACTTTAAGGGTATATTTTGCATTGTTATTTGATCCCAAGTAATAACTCTTAAAAAGGTCCTCTTTTTTCTATTCAACTACAAACTATACCATGCCATTCAAGAATATGATCGGTCCCACTTTCTTAATATGTCATTGAAGAATATGGCGGGACCCACTTTCATCTCCTTTTTTTTACTTATTCATTATTGAAAAATTAAATTTCATTTTGATTATCATTTTTCATATAAATATTTTTTAAATCACATTTTATCTATCGTATTAATTAAATATTAAACATCAATTAATATAAATAGTGTAACAAAATAACTATATCAATTATTTTTTAATAAATATGTCAAATTTAAATATGACAAGTAAAAATGAACGGACATGCTATATAATAAGAAGAGATTGTAGAAAGGATAAATAATGACAAAATTAAGGAAAATGTTATCATCTTATTGACTGAGATTTTTATGGGAAATTAATTCATATTCTCTAATTATAATTAATAAAATAAATATATGGTATCATTTTTTTTAATCTTATATTAAAAATAAAAAAAATTGTTTTACTTTTTTATTTAATAAATTAAGAAAATTAATTATTTTTGCCTGACTTTATCATTATCGTTAAGTAATTATATAAAATACTAATAGTCAAATTAAAATTTTCAAAATATAATTAATAAAATAAATAAGGCATCTTCCCCTATGCTTAATATATCACTCTCTTATTATATAAGAGAGAGTTCACACTGACGCAGAACGTCTCTGTCAACGTGCCTTGCTGAATTTCGAAAAAAATATATTATTTCTTTTGTTTTATTATATTTTAATTAGTGTATAATATTTTTGAAATTATGAGATCCATTTTAGCTATGAATTTTAGTTTTGAATTCATATTATTTAGTTATAGCTTTATTATTTTTAATGTCGGTAATATTTATTTATATCTTGTATCTACTTTGAGTAAAAAATTAACGATTGATGACGAAAAATACTTTAATTATGTACATCTTAATGGATCTCTTCACATTAAATTTACACAAACAAAAAGTAATTAACAACTTAAGGACCTCTTCACATTAAATTTGAGCAAACTAAAAATAATTAACAACTTAAAAAATCTAAAAATTACATTAAAATTTAATTAACTTTTTAAATTTTATCTATATAACATTAATTAAAATAAAAAAATAATAAATATTAGGCCCGTGCTAGCACGAGCACCTGTGTCTAGTATTACTCAAAAGTATCTATTTGGAAATAATAGTTCTGTTTCAATTTGTGTAATTGTGTTTTATTTTGCACAATTTTTTTTGAAAAAACAACAACTGAAATTTATAGTTTAAAATAAAGTATCATTATTACATAATTATAAATTATTTTATTAAGAGTGAAATGTTAAAAGGTTTAAATGAAATTATATTAAATATTCTTTATGTTTTGATTTGTTTATCTGATTTTAACTTGATATGAAGTTTAAGAAATTAAAGAAGATTTTTGAATCTGATGGTCATAAACTAAAAATACGTAGAATGTATCAAAATATTTTTCAGTTTTGTGGTCTTAAATATGTCATGTGCAAAATTAAACAAAAATTATCCAAAGTAGAAATAGATGTTTTTATAAAATAGACTTTTTTAAAAAAAAGTAATACAAACGAATTGAAACATATGAATATAAATATATCATCCGTTCTTTTTTAATATTAACTCAAAAAAATAGTATCAAAATAAATTGAGATAGAGTAATAAAATATTTCCAAGAATAAGGTAGGTGTGTATGAGAGAGACGGTTAATTTGGGGGTGTTTGGTGTGAGAAAATATTTTCTTACAAAACATATTAATTCTTAATTATTTTTAAATATTTGATAAGTAAACAAAAAATATGTTATCCCATGAGTACTTATATATATATTCTAGTAAACAAACAATAGAAGTGTTGCGTGGGGCTATGAAAATGATGGAGGAGGGATCGTCGAAGGATAGGAATATTGGTTGGATGAGACGATACAATAAATCTAAAATGTCACTTATAAAATTTGTTTTTTCTACTTCTACTAAAAAAGTCATTTTTTCTTTTTTAAGAAGCTTATTTTAATAGAGAAAATATATTTTTCAAAAATATTATCGAACCAACCATAAAAAAACAAGAAAATAGTTTTCTTCCTTACCAAACACACCCTAATAGCATTCAAATGCAGTCGGGTCCACTTCAAAAGGAGAAAGTAAATCAGAAAATTCCAAGGATGTGTTGTCACTTGTCATTGTTCCTGCATTTTTATTTTTATTTCGTATCATTAAGATTCAAATTCGAAATTTCTACTTGGATCATTTTTCGATTTGTGCGTGTCATTCTTTTGTAGGGGTCATACTAATCTTTTTTATATTGTTCTAATTTTATTGGATGTCCCCGAAGGGACTCTGAGATCTCCACTTATGGATGAGGAGTTCTTATCATTCTACTATAATCCTTGTTGGTATTGTTCCTGCATCATAAAATAGTGAAATAATTTTTTTTAAGTTTATGCATTAAAGGGTCGTTTGTTCATTGGTTTCCACATGTTAGTAATGTAATAAATAGTGATGCAAGATTTAATTATATAGAATATAAGTAATAAAAAAATCAAATATGCATTAACTATAATACATAAATTATCCCATATATATTCAATTTGTTATATCAGACATTAATTACATTATATATTTTTTAAAACAAAATATTGATTTACGATGCATGATAAAGTTTGACAACTAAAAGTTAGGTAATACAACATAGAGTATATAGTAGGCACGGGAAAATATGCAGTCAAAGTCGTAAATTAAAGTGTAGGTGATAGAGAGTAAATTTATGCATATACTAGCTTATTATATATATAATATATATTCAAATAACATATATATTGATTTTACTTATACTTTAAGTAATTATGTATCTTACCATTAATTAGGAGTTTCTTATCATATATTGAGAAAGATTGTACACCTAGATGTATACGGAGAGAGGCGAGCGAGAAGGAAAGGGAGACAAGCGAGATAGTTATGTATCATAAATACATGCAAACCATGCTAGATACACATTAGATACATGTATTTGTATTTATCCGCTATGATTCATATGTATTTGGGATATCATATACATAGGAGAGTGGTGAGCAAGAAAATATGCTAAACCAATAACCATAGGAGGATATCATATCTGAGATTTTGATTTTTAAATATGCTAAACCAAAAACCAAATCAATAAGTTATTTTTTAAATCAATTTTTAGTCTTTAATGATACGATTTTCAATTTAACCAATAAGAAAATACTCATAAATTAAATATGTGCCTTCTCCAATAATTTGGCGCGGCAGAACAATAATATAACTTTACATAATGCTCTTAATAGAAACAATACTAACTAACACAGCTAACGGGCAAAGATAGTAATCAATAAAGTACTTATATTAATATTTAATATTTATGTAGGGACAAAATAGTAAATTATTACAGTCTTAGCGGGTTATCGATTTACCCAATAACCTAATATTAAAAAATTAAAGTCGAACCAATAAACCCGATTATTTTTTATAAAACCATTGAAATTTCGTTAACCCAATAACAATAAATCAATATCATTTTTTTAATTCGATTTATTGATCGGTTCAATTTTTATAGACCCCTAAATTTGGGGATAATATTCGATGTTTAATCTAAAGAGAAGCTTACGTTATCGAATCGCCAGATGATATTATCAAAATTTCATCTATTTTAAGGAGAAAATATGGCCAAAATTTGTTGTAAAAGATAAATATATTCCTCCTTTTTAAGATGTGCTACGTAGACCAACTAAAGATCTTCTTTTACATATATAAGATAAAAATCGACCACTATATAAGGTGTTTTTTTGCCAAATAAATAAATAAATTAGGCTATTCAAGCTTTATATTCAAAAAGTACTAATTCTAATTTTCGAGTTACCTTTCCCATTTAAAATATAAAGTCTTTACGATTAATTCTTTAAAATGAGTAGGTAATTCTTTATAAAATCAATTGATAAAAGCCACAAAAGAATTTTAGCAAAATGCCAAACATTTTAAAAAAATTCAAAATCCCTCAACGGCTACCTAAATCCAAAAAATAATTACACATTTTCCTATTATTCCCTCCCAAATATAAAATTCAAAACACACACACAAAAAAATAAATTATTCATTTTAAAAAATACACAAAGCTTCAATCACGCCCCTTCTCTTTCTCTTCTCCCCTGTATCTTCGCCTCCATGGAATCAGCCGAAGAAGATGAAGCTTTTATACCCGGCTCAGCCTTTTTCACTCAGCCGCCACCGAATTTAGTGTCATTATCACCTTTCACTTCATCAGTTTCGCCTTCTCCTCGGCGGCTTTCCAGCTGCTATTCTCAGCCGAGCCAACCTATAAAAGCTAAAAGACAACTTGCATGGGTGTCTCTTCAAGGAAGGCTTATCGGTGCAGAGGAAGCAAGTTCTGCTAGGAAGATTGGTGGTGGTTTAAACCCTAAAGAAGCTGTGGCTTGGGAACTCTTTAGCCCCATTCATCGGATTCTTATAGTTGCTGTTGTTGCCGTTGCTGCTGCGAATTCAAAGAAGAATAAGCAGATTTGTCGGCTGAAGAAATCTGTTGAACTTAGGGTTAGTTGTTTTTATTTTTGGTAATGAGGTTTTGTGTACTTACATTATTGCGTGAAGTACTGGTTTTTATTTATTGTTAAACTGTTTAATGCTGCTGTTACTACTTCTCGTTTTCATTAATAATTTGATTTTAGGAATTTTTTGCATTTTTTGACTGGTAATTTAATTGGGTTTGGGGATTTAGTTAATCATTTCTACTACAGAAAATCCTGTTTTTCATTTTCTTCTGTTTCCTCTTCCCTTTTTGAGTCGAGGATCTATGCGAAACAACTTTCTACCCCGTAATGGTAGAGGTAAAGTTTGGGTATATTCTACCCTGACTACACTTGTGAGATTAAATTGGGTATGGTGTTGTTATTATTGGTTTATTTCCTCTTACATTTGCTCGGATTGTTAACTGGATCCTTTTACTTGCGACTTTGCTAACTAGACAATCCCAATGCAAAATAAGTTCACTTTTTGTCCCATTAATTTCTTTTTTCTGGGCAAAGTATAAGGTTGAGTTACATTGGGTTTAAGTGTTCAGTTGGCAAAGTCGTGAGTAGAGGGTTCACTTGACAATCTGAGCCAAATATAAGGGACTTCTAGGCTACTCCGCTTCAATATTATTATCCAAAAGTCGTTTACTGAAATCAAGTTCTGCCTTTGTTCCATATTAGATGATGAGGTGTTGATTCACTAATGTATCTTATATCAATATTGTAGGAGGTTAATGGTTGAAAGTTCTGTTTGATAGAGAAAACATTTCATTAGATTTTAAAATTGAGTAATTAAATGTATTCGTATTCTTGAAAGTCGTGAAATTGTATAAAATAATATTGTTAGTGAAAGAGTTTAAATTCTCTGCACCGACGGTTTAAAACATATACACAACTATGTTCACCTCTAGGGCAATTACAAGTAAATCTCTATGATAAGCATTATCTCGTAAATGGTAACTTGGTAAAATTGTATGCTATCATAGGTTAAACTGCTGATAGTATAAGGCGTTCCATAGTGATGACGTTTCTAAATGGTTTGCATGAGTTTAGTAGTCTATTCAGCTATTTGAATTTCTTCTTTTATTTTGTCCAGGATCAAGTGCTCTTAGGCATGCAACAGAAGCTGGACACATTATGTGAACAGGTTAACTATTTCAAGGATCAGCCAGAAACTGCAGCAGATACATATGACTATTTTCTTTGTGAGCAACACTTGAATCAGTCCAACAACTTTTACGAGGTAAACAATCCTGAGAGGCTCAATTAGGTCCTTGTTCTATTTCGCTGCAAGTCAATTCTGATCAAGGAAGAGGAGGTGGTTAGTTATAAAATGCCTCTAGCAGCAAATCATATAGAAGAATAGTATAATGAAAAGGCCCAAATAGAATGGAATGGATATAGAGGATTTAATAGTCGAACCAACTAGTATGGAATTGAGCCGTATTTTATTTTTGTACTCTCTTTTGGACTTGAAACCAGTGCTTACCATTTCTTTCCTCTTAACTAGAGGAATATGATCAAGGGAGAAGAGATGCTTAAATTTGAAATGCCTCCGGCAGCAAATCAGGCTGAACCAGAGGAACGGCGTATGTCTGATTTGTCGGATTGGGCTGCTAGTGTGACTTCCTCTGTAGATATTCAGGTAATTACAGTATCTATTAGATTTTACGATTATGCGATGAACTAGCATTGAGCTTTGTTTACATGTGAATCTTTTTGTTTTCCAATAGTGTATCTCACATCAGAATTTCTATTTTCTCATCTTATGGCTTTTTCCGAGAGAAAGAACAATGTTTTCAAATGTATGAATATGGACTTTTTGAGATTGGATATCCTGGAATTTTGGTAACGTGCAATCAGAATTTCTTAGGGAAGATAAACTTCAGTGTAGGCTGCTTGCAGTTTAGATGATGCAGTGGACAAATTTGCAGTCTCTTGTTAAAATTATCCATTAGTTTGTTTTTCTCTTCTACCTACTTTGGCTTGTAGAAGTCAAATAGATAATTACTGATGGTAACCACCATTTAGATACCGTGTTAACTCTGTCTTTTAAATCTTTACTGATGAGACAATAGAAGTTGCACATTCTTTGTTGAGAAACAAGGGTATAGACATGTTGAATTCCCTAGTTTCCCATCATAGGGATTTCTATCTATAGATTAAGTGATTACCAAGGAGCTAATTCGTTCAGTGAGCATGAACAATCAAGAGCAAGGTCTTGGCATATTTTACTCTTCACGTATGATGATTATGTTCGTTGCTTTTATGCTTTACCTAAATAAGTTTACATTGAACTAATTTAGAGAGACAAGAAAATAGTTCCCGACCATTATGGTCTAATTTGCAACATATGTTGTTCCTTTCAGCTGAACACTTCAGCAATTGAACAAGATTTTTATAATCTCCAGAGGGAATGTGAAGAAAAAGATGTCACCATCAGGGAGTTATCCACTTTTCTTCAATCATCAGAAGCTTTTGGTGCAAAGGTACCATAACATGTATTTTTCCTCATACAATATTAAAGAAGAAATGTGTGCTGCTCTTGTACAAAACAATGTGGTGAATACCACTCTTACAGTTACTTATAAATTATAATTGTCCCATTGGTTTGATCTAACAGAGGACTGGGGAGCTCGAAGATATCATCCGCAGAAAGAATATGATTATTACAAAACTCAAGAAAGATGTTTTAATTTTAGAGCAGAAGGTAATGATGCCTCTTAGCAAATGCTAGCAGTCTCTGTCTGCATATGTGAAATAATTTTTTGCAGCAAAATGTTGTCTAGTTATTTTACAAATTTTTGATTTACACTACTTATTGTAAATGTCCCCATCATGATGCCTACTGATTAATGTTGTGATGTCAGAGAAAAATATGGTCTTGTAAACTGAATTACGGTCTAATCTTGACAATATATTTACTTGAGCATATTTGAATTCTTGAAAACAGAATGCTTAAACTTAATGCTCCAAACTAAAGTTTATTTTGACTTATTCGACTGGTAATTTGATTTATTAGGTCGGCACAAAGTGTGAATCATTTTTGGTTTATGATTTGAATTTGGCTTTTAACAGGTTATGAATCTAACAAGACTTAGACGACCATCATTCTCTTCAAAAAGCTCAAAGGGGGTGAAGCATCCTCCATTGACAGACAACATCCTTTATGATATGGACAGTACTACTAGCCCTTCGTCTTCAGATTCAGATAGTTCCCCTGGGAAAATAGCTCAACCTCTTTTTGCTAGTGAAGACATCAGCATTTATCATGGTGAGAATACTTTATGGGAAAACCAGAAACAGGAGCAGGTCGAAAACTTACCTTTATTAGTGAAACCAACAGATAGACATCCAAAGTCACGACCAGTAAGCCCCTTGAAGGAGAAATCATTGAATCACACACAGGATTCAGTCTCCAGATTGAAACCAAAGCAGGCATCATCTATTGGTGCAGAATCTCGGAGGAGACGACCTCCTATTGCTAAGTCGAAGGATGTGGTTGCACAAAAACGATGGCTTTAGTAAGTATTTTTCTTTCTAACTCAAGAAACTACAATTTTTCTTTGAAATTGTATACTGGCTTCCGTGAATAGTAGTACCAAAGGCTTTACTGAATGATTAAGAGAAACCTATGTAAGATATGAGTTATTATGTGGAGAACATGGATACTCAACAACACTGTTTGAACACTGAACACTAACACTAGCCTTCTTTATTTTCCTTATTGTGGTTAACTTTTCACCCCTTTCTTCAGGCTATCAGACGTAAATGTCACAAGTAAAATAGGCCATGTAAGTTGCTGGCCTGATAGCTGGACCTGAAAGAGCTTCAGTGTAGCTTCATCAACTTCTACGGCTGCTTTGCATTTCCATCATTTCCTATGACGAACATGCCAAATAGACAGCATTATATATTTAGGTAGTAAAACAGTAGAGTACATAAAAGTTATCAAACCAGTCTTATATTTAGTTAGACTTCTTGTTATATTGTAGCAAAGATGAAATGTGTCAATTATACAATTTTGGGATGTCGCCTGAACTAGCAATTATACTTCCTATGTATATTGCTATGATATGACACATTTTGCTTCTTCTGAAGTCTATGTATGTATAATTTTCATTTGGCTTAAAACGCCGACAACCCCTTAAATTTATCAATAAATTTCATTCAGAAACTTGAACGGTTGAGCATCTGAAGTTTGAACACATGATATAGTGTTCCTAATAGACACCTCCAATTCAAATTTTTTTGCGTGTGCTTTTGTGCGTCATTTAGGTACTTAGTTAAGTTAATCATATATAAAATGTGTCATCTATTTAATTATACATATGGGCCTCAATTGGAACATGTTTGAGGTTTTACGGTTTATTGAGGCTAATGTGACGCATTTCAAGTGGTTTACTTATCTATGTAATTGACACTTGAATACACACCCAAAAGGTTTTCCAAACAAAAATGTTTAATAAGAATACTTCTATTTATATTGTATTTAATAAATTATTCGTGTTTTTTATGATCGTGTGAAACGCGGATGAGTTCACTAGTTATTTAATATTGGAAAATTGTATATAATAGCAAACTATTAATTCAAATTAAATGCTATAAATATAGTTTGATTTAATTGTACCTCATAGCAAATTGTTGCTATTTCACCTCTCTCCTGGTGAATCTCGCTCGCCACTCTCGTTCTCTCCCTCGCCTCTCTCATTTTTTATACAAACGCAAGTGTATAAGTGTGTTTGCGTTTGTATAAAGTGAGAAAATTGTATATATACATATATTTTTGTTCCCCTCTCTCCCCTCTCCCAGATCTCGCTTGCCACTCTCTCAGATCTCGCTCTCTCACTCGTCTCTCTCACTTTATACAAAAAACCACAAATTGTATAAAATGCGTTTGTGTTTGTATAAAGTGAGAGAAAATTGTATATATACATATATTTTTGTTCCCCTCTCTCCCCTCTCCCAGATCTCGCTCGCCACTCTCCCAAATCTCGCTCTCTCACTCGCCTCTCTCACTTTATACAAAAATGCAAATGTATAAAATGCGTGAAAATTGTATATATACATATATTTTCGTTCCCCTCTCTCCCCTCTCCCAGATCTCGCTCGCCACTCTCCCAAATCTCGCTCTCTCACTCGCCTCTCTCACTTTATACAATTGATCTTTTTGTATATGTATACCAAATCAGATTATACAACTGTTTTTTTTGTATATGTATAGCGAATTATACATATATATGTTTGCTATGGAGCGCAATTATGCAAAGTTTGCTATAGCATACAAATATGAATTTTGTGTTTGCTATATGTGAAAGTTGCTCAATATTATATCATGTGTTTAAATGTTCAATTAAAATAAGTTGTAATTTGAGAGTTCAAATGAAATTTATTGAAACGATTGACTTGGGTCTGCTTAATTACGGGCTTGCTCTCCCTTTTCCTATACCCAACTGACATAGCAATGAGACTCCACTATGCCTCTATGGAAGTTCATCTTCTTTCTGTGTGTGCCCTATCTGGTTTGTTACTCTATTTACCTTCACAACCATTTGGTGTCAAAGGTTATTCATTTTCATACAAAGACACCTTACATATATATCAGGGATTACAAAGCTCGCTTTACATGAGTAGGCGGACGTGCATCCATTGATGAGAACCTATGAGATATGAGGTGCATTTTTGGCCTTGATTTTGGAGCTTTAAGCAAACAAGAGCTTGCTAGTTTGATGATAAAAGCCAAAACATCTTTTACTTCATCTTCAGGATATGGAAGACGTTCCTCTAGCAAATCACTAAGCTGCACATGATCTATAGTCGATGAATTTGCTACCACAGTAATGTAATCCCCAAGATGCTTTCCTTTGATTATCTTCAATGCTAATACTCCAAAGCTATAAACATCACACATTTCCGTAACCTTCATTGTATATGCAAGCTCTGAGACAACACAATTTCCAAAAGATTATTAACAATCTAAACGTGCAAATGAGATTTAAACAGTATAGAGTGTTTGGCTTTAGCTCATGAAATTTGAGAAAAGGATAAAAAAAATTAAGTTGGGCCTTACCAGGTGCAACATAGCGATATGTGCTTGCAAACGCAGTGCAATTGAATGAGTCTGGCTTGAGAAGCTTCGCTATGCCAAAGTCTGCAACACAAGCTTCATACTCGGAATCAAGATAAACATTACTGCTTGATATGTCTCGATGAACAATTGGTGGTGGTGAACAATCGTAGTGCATGTAAGATAAAGCAAAAGCAACACCCTTGATGATATTTACCCTTTTCAGCCAATCCAATTTCTTGGACTCAACTTCATTGCTCAAAATAATAGACAAACACCCCCTCTCCACATACTCATAAACCAAGAACGAGTGTTGTGCATTCGAACAATAGCCATAGAGGTTCATAATGTTCCGGTGTTTAATCCCAGTCAATGCCCTTACTTCATTTAAGAAGCCTTTGGGAGATGTATTCTCAAATGAAAAATGAAGTCTCTTTACAACTATATTCCCTAATGATGGAAGGTCTACCTTGTAAACGCTTCCATGCCCGATGCAATCAAACTCCTCTGTTGCGTTTAAGATGTCCCTGTACAATGCCTTTCCATCTAACATGGATATCGAAAGCCAACCATCACCATCCCATCTTTCAACATCTCCAACTCTCCTTTTATTACACATAAAGAGAACATCAATGAAAACACAGAGCAGTACTAGTGCTCCAATAACAGGAAGTACAGTGATTAGGATGAGCTTACGTCCCTTCGCCATTGAGTTTTTCTTCACCTCATAAGATGTTGAGATAAAAAGATTTCATAATAATAACTCGCGTCTAAGCTCGTTGACAATGGCAGACAACACAACGAAGAAGATAGAGTTATCTTCAAGGGTACCTAAGTCTAAGTCTTTCTTGTCTTTAGAGAATACAAAGAGACGTGGCACAAATCCAGCTGTAGATAACAATAAAGGAAAGAGAAAGCATCTGGACCATCCACGTTATCCAAGATCAGCCCAAGGTTACAGCTGTAGTGAACCAATTCTTGATCCTTCTATGAAGCATGTGAATGGCACACACATAACATAGAAGATAATAAAATATGTTAGACATTTATTTACATAGCCAATAGAATTTAGACAAAATGTATAAGATTTTATATGTTCTTTTATTGCTTTTAGGTATTACATTTTCTTGTATAAATATGGGCAGTCTTGTACATATCAATACAAAGAAAATTTCCCAATACTGATCTTGATTAAATTCTTCATGGTATCAGAGCAGAAATCATTTCTCAATTCATAAGCAATGACTGGAGAATCATCTTCCCCTACTGTTATCACACCAGCCACTGTCCCAGCAGTCGGCGTTACCACGACCATCAATCCTTATCATCTTTATCATCTTCATGCTTCTGATGCACCTGGAATGGTACTGATCAACAATCTCTTTGATGGGAAATGTTATCAAGGCTGGAGGAGATCTGTACTCATTGCTTTGTCTGCGAAGAACAAACAAGGTTTTATTAATGGTTCTCAACCTTCTCCTTTAATTGTCTCTCCAGATCTTCATCTTTGGAGCAGATGTAATGATATGGTTACCTCTTGGCTCCTTAACTCCCTGTCAAAAGACATTGCAGACAATGTTATCTACTCAAGCACAGCTAGAGAATTATGGTTAAGTCTAGAACATAGGTTTGGCCAATCAAATGGTGCAAAGCTTTTTCATCTACAAAAGGACCTTAGTAGGTTGGTACACGGGACTAACAACATTGCAGGTTACTTCACAAAGCTGGAGAGATTATGGGATGAGTTGGATTTTCTTAACTCTAATTTCAAGTGTAATTGTGTCTGTGTCTATCATGGAAAACAGAGGTTGGAAAAGTCTCTGCAAGATGAAAGACTGATCCAATTTCTCATGGGTCTTAATGACACTATGCCCAAGCTCGGGGAAACATTTTGATGCTTAACCCTTTACCTGGCATTAATCATGCATACTCTTTAATTTTACAGAATGAAAATCAAAGAGAGACATACATGAGTCTCATCTCTTCTGATTCTTCTTCTTTCATGGTGGGAAATATGAATCACTCTAGAGGAGGAAAGCAGTCGCAAAAACTTGCTAGTCCTTCAAGGAATTGGGAATCCACATCCCAGAATTAATCACCCTCAGCATCCACAAAAGTTTCAAAGGCCAAATTTGAAGTTCAAAGGCAAGGGAGCACAGTATAACCCTAATGTATCTTGCACTTATTGTGGGAAAACTGGGCATGTGGAAGATAATTGTTTCAGGTTGATTGGATTTCTGGATGATTTTCAGTTCACAAATGACAAATGTTTTCATGGACAAATCAGAGGAAATAGAGCAATGACCATGGGAGATATCGAGGGAAGGAACAGCCAGTTTGCAGATCAGGGAAAGAACACTCACTTTGCAGATCATGGGAGAATACTCACTATGTAGATCATGGAAGGAACCCTTCATATGCTGATCATGGAAGGAACAATAACTATGCAGATTCTGCATTCACTACTCAACCATACAACAAGGACCAATACAACCAGTTCAAACAAATGTTCAATCAAATGAAGGTGGAAGAAACAACTCACACCAATAGAGGATCTGAGATAAATGCAAATGCAGTGGCTGGTACTATTCTAAAATATATTGGCTCATGTTTTTCAGTTCTCAATCCTCACACCTGGATCATAAATTCAGGTGCCTCTAATCATATGTGCTTCAATCCTAATTATTTTATGTCATTATCACCCCTTAAAGTACCTCTTACTATTAATTTTCCTAATTGTCAAACCATCCTTGTTACTCATACATGAACTGTCTCTATATTTCTGATCTTGCTTTGCAGAATGTTCTTTATGTTCCTAGTTTCAGATTCAATCTCATGTTAGTCCACAAGTTTTGCACTCAATTTCAATCTGTCCTATTTTTCACTTCTCTTCATTGCATGATGCAGGGCCTTTCCATGAAGAGGCCTCAAGTTTTTGGTGATGCAAAGGATGGACTCTATCTGTTCCAGCCATGTCCTACAGAGTCTAGTCTTAATTTTAGACAATATGTTCCTAATTTATCAAGTGTTAATTTGAGTGATTCAGTTTCAGTTCCTATTTCAATTCCTCTTAATTCTAGTTCTATTCCTGTTTGTACAAGTGCAACTTCTAATGTAAAATTGTGGCACATTAGACTGGGGCATTTGCCTTTATCGTCAATGAAAAATGTCAGTTTTCTCTCAAATTCCTCTTTATCTGTTTCTGATTGTTTTTGTGATATTTGTCCTAAAGCCAAACAATCTAGGCTGGCTTTTTCTCTCAGTCATATATCAACAAAATACATCTTTGATCTCATTCATATTGACACATGGGGTCCTTATAGAGTACCCACTCACAATAATTATAGGTACTTTCTTACAATAGTTAATGACTATAGTAGGGCAACTTGGACTTATTTGTTAACTATCAAGAGCAATGCATTTTCCGTCTTACAATCTTTCTTACAAATGGTTGAAAGACAATTTAATATAAATGTGAAAAAGATAAGATCAGATAATGCCTTGGAATTGGGACTAAGTGCAGCAGCCACACATTTTTTTTGTTCCCAAGGGATTATTCATCAAACTACTTGTGTTGCTACTCCTCAACAAAATGGCAGTGTTGAGAGAAAGCATAGACACCTCCTTGAAATTGCAAGGGCTCTTTTATTTCAATCACAGGTGCCTATATCCAATTGGGGTGAGTGTATTCTCACAACCACATATTTGATTAATAGGCTGCCTTCTCGAGTCCTTCATGGGAACACTCCTTATGCTGTCATTTTTGGCACATCACCTTCTTATCAGAATTTAAGATGTTTTGGTTGTTTGTGCTATGCTAGCACACTAGCTCATGGGAGGGGGAAATTTGACCCTAGGGCTTAAGCTTGTGTATTTTTAGGATATCCTAGTAATCAAAAGGGATACAAATTGCTCTCTTTGGATAGTCAAAAAGTGTTTGTTTCTAGAGATGTCCAGTTTCATGAGGAAATATTTCCTTTTGTTACAAGTATTGCTCCTATTTCTCCTTATACTTTTCCTATTCCATACTTAGCTTCTTCTTCTGATGATTGTTTATTGGATCCACCGATTTCTACATCTTTACCAACTCATTTTCCTGTTCCCATTGCTGACCCTGCCTCTATTTCATCATCACAACCTCCAAACACTCTCATCAATCCTAGTCCTAGGAGATCTACCCGAACCACCAAAGGCATCCTCCCAGCCCACCTTAAGGATTATTTCTGCAATACTATCTTTCTTAGTGATGTCACTACCTCTTGTTTCTCTGCTTCTATTCAGACTCATATTCTTTCTTCTACTGATCTTTCCCTTTCTAATCAGTTTCTTCTTCATTCTATTTCTCAGATCACAGAACCAACCAACTATTATCAGGCTTCTATTCACCCTGGATGGAAACATGCCATGGATGCTGAAATTGCAGCCTTACAATCAAATCACACTTGGGATGTAGTTTCCCTTCTTCATGGTAGAAAGACTCTACCTTGCAAATGGGTTTATAAGATCAAACAACATGCTGATGGATCATTAGAAAGGTTGAAAGCTAGATTGGTTATCCGAGGAGACATCCAAAATGAGGGCATTGATTTTAATGAAACGTTTTCTCTGGTGGTTAAAATGACTACGATCAGATGTTTATTATCTATTGCTGTAAAAAAGAATCGGGTAGTGTCACAATTTGACGTCAACAATGCTTTCTTGCACGACGATCTACAAGAAGAGGTCTATATGAAGTTTCCAGCAGGTTTGCCTATCTCTAATCCTAATTTGGTGTGCAAACTTCGCAAATCCCTTTATGGTCTCAAGCAGGCATCCAAACAGTGGTATGCCAAACTTGCCGGTGCTTTAAGCTTTAAGGGGTTCACTGCTTCACTCAATGACTACTCTTTATTCTTCAAAAATATCGGTGATTTAGTTTCTATAGTCGTCGTTTATGTCGATGACATTCTTATTACGGGAGATAATCACAAAGAAATACAAGCTCTTAAGGATTTTCTTCACACAGAGTTCAAAATTAAGGATTTTGGGGCTTTGCATTACTTTCTTGGTATGGAAATATTAAGGGAACAACAGGGTATTATCATCAGTCAAAGCAAATATACCTTGGATTTGCTTCAGGAATTTGATGTTAGTCATTTGCCCTCTGTTTCTTCCCCCATGGATCCTTCACACAAGTTATCTGCAGATTCAGACGATTATATGTTAGATCCTACCCTATATCGACATCTTGTTGGTAAACTCAACTACTTAACTCACACAAGGTCGGATCTCTATTTTGCCGTTTCAATTCTCAGTCAATATATGCAAAAGCCTTGTACCTCTCATTTTACTGCAGCATTAAGAGTTCTAAATTACCTAAAAGGGTCTCCAAACCAAGGGATTTTTCTGACTGCTTCTCCTTCTTTCTCTCTAATGGCGTTTTGTGATGCCGATTGGGCTACATGTCGAGATTCTCGCAGATCTGTGAGTGGGTTCTTTATCAGCCTAGGAGGATCCCCCATTTCATGGAAGTCCAAGAAACAATCTTCCATTTCACTTTCTTCGACCGAGGCTGAATACCTCTCGATGCGTCGCTTGGTTGCAGAACTAACTTGGTTGACTCGTCTACTCTCTGATCTATCTATTTCACCTGAGTTGCCCATTCCTGTTCACTCGGATAGTCAAGCGGCTATCCACATTGCTTGCAATCCTGTGTTTCATGAAAGGATGAAGCATGTTGAGCTAGATTGCCATTTTGTTAGGCAACAATACCTCGCTGGCCTCATATCTCTTTCTTTTGTTCCATGCCATGATCAGTTAGCCGACATCTTCACCAAATCGTTGTCGGGGACTTCTCATCATCACTATCTTCGCAAGCTGGGTATCATTCCACTCCCCTCCATCTTGAGGGGGGGATGTTGAGATAGAAAGATTTCACAATAATAACTCGCGTCTAAGCTCGTTGACAATGGTAGACAACACAACGAAGAAGACGAAGTTATCTTCAAGGGTACCTAAGTCTAAGTCTTTCTTGTCTTTAGAGAATACAAAGAGACGTGGCACAAATCTAGCTGTAGATAACAATAAAGGAAGGAGAAAGCATCTGGACCATCCACGTTATCCAAGATCAGCCCAAGGTTACAACTGTAGTGAATCAATTCTTGATCCTTCTATGAAGCACGTGAATGGCACACACATAACATATAAAATAATAAAATATGTTAGACAGTTATTTACATAGCCAATAGAATTTAGAAAATATGTATAGGATTTTATATATTCTTTTATTGGTTTTAGGTATTACATTTTCTTGTATAAATATGGGCAGTCTTGTACAGATCAATACAGAGAAACTTTCCTAATACTAATCTTGATTAAATTCTTTAGAAGATGCTCTTTCACAGGGCGGGAGTCCTGTTACATTGCCGCAAAAACCTTTATTACCTTCTAATGAAGCATTCATAAAAGTTTTATTATTAGGGATTGGTCCTTCCAACTCATTGTATGACAATACGACATCCTGCAAACCAGTTTCCAATTTCTGGTGGTATGCTGCAGGATGTCCTTAATCCCAGTCAATGCCCTTACTTCATTACGTAAAAGATTTGATTGATTTGCGGTAGCCTTCCACCAATGTTATTTCTGGCTACCTGCAGATCAATCAAATCTTTGCATTTCCCCCAGTTGTTGCTAAGTTCACCATGAAAATCATTGTCACTCAAATCAATGAACAAAAGCTCTGGATGTATGCCAAAAGCTTCAGATAAATTTCCAATGAAACTGTTGTTATTAAAGCGAACCCATTTGAAACTCGAGCATTTGCTTAAGCTGCTTGGTATTGGCCCTGTGAGCTTGTTACTAGCCACCGTGAAGTTCTCAAGTTTCCCACCTTTGCAAAGCCGCTCTGGCAAATGGCCTGAAAATCCATTGTAACTTATTGATAAGACAACCAAGTTATCCATATATGCAACTTCTTTTGGAATGGAACTAGAAAGTTTGTTGGTACCGAGATATAGTGACTGCATGTTTCTCAAATTACCAAAGGAAACAGGAATTGGACCACTAAGCTGATTATCAGATAAATCCAAATAAGTGAGTTTTTTCAAATTTCCCAACTCACTAGGAATGGGACCAGAAAGTTGGTTTAAATAAAATTGCACACTTTTGAGCTCAGTTAAGTCACCTATAGTTATTGGAATTGAACCAGAAAGTTTGTTATCACCGAGATGTAGTGAGTGCAAGTTTCTCAAATTGCCAAAGGAAGCAGGAATTGAACCACTAAGCTAATTATAGGATAAATGTAGATCATTAAGGTTTTCCAAATTCGCCAACTCACTAGGAATAGGACCAGAAAGTTGGTTAGAATAAAGGTACAAAATTTTGAGCTGAGTTAAGTCACCTAAAGTTATTGGGATTGAACCACCAAGCCGATTATCACATAACTCCAGATCAAAAAGATTTTTCAAATTCGCTAATTCACTAGGAATGGGACCAGAAAGATGGTTAGAATAAAGGTGCAAACTTTCGAGCTCAGTTAAGTCACCTAGAGTTATTGGAATCGGACCAGAAAGATTGTTCCTCTATAAGTCTAAAACCTCAAGTGACTTCATCTTCCCAATTTCAATAGGAATGAAACCATTTAAATGGTTGTCAAAGATGACGAGGGTCTCAACCTTTGATAGTGAGCCGATTTGAGATGGGATTTTGCTTGAAATCTTGTTGATCAACAAGTCAAGATAGACAAGATTAGTTAGGTTTCCTATTGTAGGGGGGGATGATACCAGAGAGCTGGTTCATGCTAAGATCAACATATTCAAGAAACAGGAGAAATGAAAATGGAAAATCATGGAGTGTACCAATGACACCAGCATCAGTAATCTTCAACCTGTTTGTCCGACCGTTAAAGCATATAACTCCATACCAACCCCTGCATGCATCAGTACTTAGCGTCCATGAAGCCAATAAGGAATTATTTTTGTTTTGGAAAGTTGCTTTCCATTTCAGGAGAGCAGTTGCTTCCTCAGTGGAAGCAAAAGTAACTGTGAAGAGAATGACAAGGCATATATAATAAATAGTATCGTTTTCGTGGGCCATAGAGCATGGAATTGTTCAAATTTTTGCTCAAATGGGCCGAGAAGAAGAAAAGTCTCAACACACAGTACTTCGCAATTCTTCTTTCATATGTAACAGTAGTTTCCTTACAAAATCAATCAAATTAAAAAGCAGCAAACAAATAAGTTCTGTATCATGGAAATAACTTAAATAAACTGATCTTTCTGTATTTTCTCTCCTCATCCAAAATAAGAGGTTGACATGGTATGGTAGATATTGAATTTCATAACGTAATCATAACTCTTGATATTGCAGTATTGATATTTTTATATTTGACAAGATATTCGGTGTTTGTAAAAAAATATTGAATACCACACTGAAGTGTAAAGTAATGTATATAATTCATATATATTATTTGTCACAACTCAATCAACCAGTCGGTAAGCGAACTCTTTCCAATCAATAAGAAGAATAATAAACGTGGAAGTAAAAGCTCAAAACAAAGCGTGTCTTAAATGACCTCATTCATATAAACTAGAAATAAAATGCGGAAGACAAGTCAAAACTCCTCAAAACCTGGTGTCATAAGTACAAGCCTCTAAGAAATCTCAAAGTACGAAAACAAATACTAAAGTTCAGGAACTAGAGAGACATTGACAAAATGTAAGGATAGAAGAGATCTGGGAATTATAGATCAACCAAGTAGCTACCTTCGAATCTCAAATGATCAACAAGTAACGAGGGTCACTTGTCACTTGTGCCGAGCTCAAAACCTGCACAATAAAGGTGCAGAAAAGGAAAGGGTGAGTATGAAAATACACGCATATTCAGTAGCATCGTCCACTGACTTGAATCAATGTTGAGGGTCGGTCCAACACTATTCAAACCTGTGATAAGTCTCAAATATAAATCCATCTCTATAAGACTCGGACTATGTTATGAACCATAGTGATGACGTGGAGGACAACAGGGCTAAATCGGAAGATAATTTTATTCAGTCTAGAAGGAGTAACCGTGTGAAAATACCATCTAAAAGATTTGTTGACTTTGTCTAACAGAACGTGAGGCAAAGTGCGCGCTAAATATGCGACAAGTGGAGTAGGAAGTATCTGATATAAATCTATTATCTCTAAGCGTAGTTAGGATATGCTATTGTTGTTTCGTCGTATCTCTATTTCTCATCTCTATTTTCTTCTATAATTCTCTTCTCATCTCTTCTCTATTTCTTCTTCTTTCCTTGCAGATTTTTTATGTAATCAGTAGTTGTTGTAATCTGGTTCAGTAATTAATATAGTGATCAGTTGGTCGTTATTGCGTTTGTTATATTGGTGCTTTCATCCAGAGGTCTTTTAATGGAGGACCAACAATGACTCAAGGCTCTTGTTGATGGATCTGTTAGGGAAACAACCACTCCATTCGAGAAGGAATTAGCGGAAATTCGTGCAATGTTACTGGAGGTAGTGAGTAAAAAAAATCATGAACCACCAATGGCAATAGCACGACAGGATAACCCTCCAGCGGCACCAACTCAACGGCATAGGTCAGCGGCTATGGAATTTTGGACGATTTTGTGGAGAGCATCCAGATGCTTGGATTTTTCAAGCAGAGCGCTACTTTGATTTTTACGAAATTGAAGATTCACAAAAACTCACGATGGCGTCATTCTATCTTGATGGAGATGCGCTTGAGTGGTATCAATGGTTATTTCGGAACAAATAATTGATCGGATGGGAGCATTTTGCAGAGAAAGCAAGGGTTCATTTCAAGCCAAAATGTCTTGAATCTGCTGAAGGCCGTCTGGCAAAATTTAGGCATGTAACCACAATATCGGAGTTACAAGGTCGTTTTGAAGCCATAGCTAATGAGACAGATGATATTTCAGATGGGTTGATGGTAAGGCCATTTGTTTCTGGGCTTAGAGAAGACATCTAAAACTCAGTTTTCAGTCACGAGCCTAAAACTTTTGATGACACACTTAAATGGGCACATATACATGAGCATCACATTCAGGCAGAGAAAGGCACGAATCGACCAGCTTTTGCAAACAGAGGGGCACCACTTTTGCCTAGCCCTAATCAACATTCCTCAACCTCGTTCATTCCATCTCCAACAAGGACGATGACTTCTCCTTTGAACCGTCCACCACTCAAATGTTTTACCCATTCTGAGATTCAGAGTCAGCGTGAGCGTGGATTATGTTACTATTGTGAGGAAAAATACGTTGCAGGCCACAAATGTAAGACCCCGCCTCAGATACTTCTTCTAACAGAGGGCTCAGATGTTCAACCCGACTTTCCAGAACCATTTATCTCTGATGACCTATTAGCCGAAGAGCTACAAGTTCTAGAGGTCTAAGAGCAGTCTACTATTTCATATCATGCCTTAGTAGGTGGACATTCATCATCCACATTACGATTTATCAGGCACATAAATGGATCTCATGTCCAAGTATTGTTGGATGGAGGAAGTGACCATAATTTTTTCCAGACGCGGGTAGCCAGTTTTTTGCAGCTTCCAGTGGACTCCACTCCTAATTTCTCTGTGATGTTGGTAGCGGTCAACGACTCCGTTGTGAAGGTGTTGTACGGCAGGTTAGTCTAACAGTTCAGGGATATGCTATCTCACTTGATTTATATTTGCTTCCTATGCATGGTGCAGACATTGTTCTTGGGGCTGCGTGGCTCTCTACACTCGAAAGGGTGGTGCAAGATTATGCTAAGCATTTGTTCGAATTCACTTCAGAAGGGAAAACTATATGTTGGAAATGGGATATTCCAAACATTGCAATGCCAGTTCAATTGCATAGCCTTCGAAGGTACGTCGCTACTGATGGAATCTCTTCATATTACTGCCTACAAGTAGTGCAAAATGAAGTCCCAAATGAGGAAGTCACTAATCCAGACTTGGTCCCTATTTTAGATGAGTTTTCTGATGTTTTCCTTAAACCAAAAGGATTGCCACCTTCACGGTCACAAGATCATGCGATTCATTTAAATCCTGGGGCTGAACCAATTAGTGTTAAGCCGTATCGCTATCCTTACTTCCAAAAACATGTAATGGAACAATTGGTTGCAGACATGCTTAGGGATGGGGTTATCAGGCCTGGCATGAGTCCATTCTCCTCTCCAGTATTGTTAGTTTGAAAAAAAATGGTACCTGGAGATTTTGTATGGATTATAGGGCTCTCAATGCCATTACTGTGAGGGATAGATTTCCTATTCCTACTATTGATGAGCTATTCGATGAGTTAAATGGTGCAATTTATTTTTTGAAGCTTGACTTACTATCTGGATACCATCAAATTAGGGTCAGAACAGAAGATGTCACCAAAACAGCATTTCGAACACATGATGGTCACTACGAATTTTTAGTGATGCCATTTGGGTTGTCCAATGCTCTGTCAACATTCCAGGCCACCATGAATGAAATATTTAGGCCTTATCTCCGACGGTTTGTGCTGGTTTATTTTGATGATATCTTGATGTATAGCCCCAATTGGAAGGACCACCTAATCCACTTACGATCAGTGCTCAAATTACTTCGACAACATCAGTTGGTGGCCAAGAGGGCCAAATGTTTATTTGGTCAGCATTCAGTAGAGTACCTGGGACACGTAATATCTAAGCAAGGCCTAAGTGTGGATTCAAGCAAAATCACAACTATCCAACAGTGGCCTCCGCCCAAGAATGTTAAGGAAGTCCGTAGTTTCTTAGGTCTTGCCGGCTATTACTGGCGCTTCATTCATCATTATGCATCTATAGTAGGACCTCTCACTGATTTGTTGCGCAAGGAACCGTTTAGGTGGAATACTTCTACACAGGCTTCCTTTGAGACTTTAAAAGCTAAACTTAGCACAACTCTTGTACTAGTACTGCCGAATTTTTCCCAAGAGTTTCAACTGGAAACTGATGCGTCTGGGCGAGGTATAGGGGCTGTCTTATCTCAAAAAGGGTACCCAATAGCTTATTTTAGCCAGAAGTTAAGCACATACATGCAGGGAGCATCTACTTATCATAGGAAGATGTTTGCCATTACTCAAGCTGTGAGTAAATGGCGTCAATACTTATTGGGACGCAAGTTTACAATATTTACTGATCAACAATCACTAAGAAATCTGACCAACCAGGCTATACAAATGCCGGAACAACAGAAATGGCTTAGCAAGTTGGTGGGGTACGACTTTCAAATTATCTATCGCCTAGGGAAATCAAATAAAGTTGCTGATGCCCTTTCTCGTCCCTTCGACATTGTCTTACTGGCTATTTCTTCCCGCAGTTATGAGCTTGAGAAGGAACTGAAATCTCTCAATCAATCACACCTCGAACTTCTTGATATCAATAAGCAATTAGAAGGTCAGTCTGCCACCTATTTGGGCTATGTATTTCGTGATGGCCTCCTATTTTTTAGGGGACGATTAGTTATTCCCTCTGATTCCCCACTCTGTAATCACTTGTTACATGAGTTTCATGACACTGCTATTGGTGGGCATGCTGGGGTGGCTCGTACATACTATAAATTGGCTTCAAATTTTTACTGGAAGAAAATGAGGCGTGATATCCATAATTTTGTTGTTTGCTGTCAAACTTGTCAACAAATGAAAGATGTTTATCACCATCCGGCTAGATTGTTGCAACCCTTGCCAATCCCCGATTTGGTGTTCGAAGACACAACAATGGATTTTATCACCTACTTACCTAGCACGGTGGTTGATCGTTTAACGAAGTATGGTCACTCCCTTACCGTCCACCTTTTCCACAAAAAATTGTTGCTGAAACCTTCGTGGTGGGAATTATTCGTCTTCATGGACCCCCAAGAACCATAGTCACTGATCGTGATCCTCGGTTCTTGCACAACTTCTGGCAGAAAATCAATCGATTGCAGGGCACTTCTTTGGTAATGAGTAGTGCCTACCATCCACAAACTGATGGGCAGTCTGAGGCACTTAATAAATGTGTGGAACAATATCTTCGTTGTTATGTTGCTGATTTGCCACATCATTGGGTTTCCATGTTGCCATGGGCCCATATTCAGGCTCTTTATGG